TATTATTATTATTATTTTTCGTTTTGTTTTAATGTTGTGCCTGTGTTTTTTTATTTCATATTCTCTATTATTTAATCTTTTGTTTTTCTATAAATGATGTCTAATATTTATTTGTATACGAAAATTATATCCAATAATTATTTTAATATAAAATTAAAATTTATAAAATAAAACAAAGACAAATATACAAAACATGCAATCGTGGCCAAACTAGAATATTATTTATATTAAAAGTTTGACCATATAATTAAAAGGACAAAGCTTTGATTGAATTGGTATATGAATATGGTGTGTAAAGGGTTTGTTCTCTTTCAAAAGATTTAGAATTTTTTTATTAGCTAGTAATATCTCACTTTTTCTCACTTCAAAACTCAAATTTCTAACTAAATAATAATAATAATAATAATAATAATAAAATAGATGTTGAATGTAATACGATGTTATATATAAGTAATTAATACATATTTTTTTAAAATAAAATAAAATTTAAATATCTGATCGTAATCATGTTGTATTTAGATACACTTCGAAAATATTTTCAAAATAATTTTTAAAAAATGTAAGATAGTAAAACGTGAAATAAAATATTTGAGATGATATAAATAAATTTTGAATATAATATTTTGTATTAAAAATATTTTAATATCATATTTTAAATAAAATGTAAGTACTTATGTGATATTTATAAAATATATATATACATATATAAATAGTAACGAATAATGCAAAATAAATTATTTATATAATTAATATTCATCTTAGTCCATAGTTATAATTTCTATATTTATGTGTTATATTTATTGTTATGACTTAATTTTTTGCTGCAAAAAAGTACAAAGATGAAAAATTGTGCATAAAAAATTCTCCCTCCGTCCCACATATCATGTCCATATTGCCGTTTCTATCCGTCCCATATTCCATATCACTTTTCTTTTTTGGAAAATGATTATACACTTTAATCTTATTTTAAATTTTTTAATTTATTTTTTTAAATTTTAATTAAACGTTATCTTAATCTTAATTTATAATTATTTATATTATAAAATAATTATTTTCACTAATACATTCTTAATTATCTCACTTAATACATGAAAAATTAATAGACTATATACATTTTGAAGTAACAGTATGATAATTATGATAGTATGTGATTTGTGAAGCATTATCATGGACGTCTAGTCTAAGTATTTATTTGTATATATTAACATAAATTATGTGGTGTTTAACATAGATATTGTCTATTATAATGTGATGTGTAGTATTGTCAATATCATATTGAATTACAAAATTCAAATATATGTATATAGTGGAAAGTGAAATAATGTGTTAGAATATGCTTTTCTCCGTCTCTTAGCAAGCTATCTATTTTTCTATTTTAGTTCATCCCATAACAAAGTATCTATTTCTTTTTTTAGTGGCTGTATTATCTACCTAACATTACAAATATCATTCCAATTTACAATATATTATACAAATTTTATTACTTTTTTATCATACAATACTAATAAGGTTAGTTTAGTCTTTTTACATTTATCTATGTTGTATTCCAATATAATACTAATATTTTTTTAAAACTCCAAAAAAACAAACGGATATATAGATATGGGACGGGAAGAAATATGATATAGATACACATGTTTGAAGTTTACTTATTTAGATAACCAATCCAATCACGCATGCAATAATAATAATAATAACAATGGTCCTTCAATTTCCACTCTTATTCCAAAGCTTCTTGTCAATTTTCATGCTACAAAAAAATAATATATTTATAACGGAAATCCGTCCCTAAAGTTCACGTAGCTAACGTAATTTCATTACTAATTCCGTTTCTAATGTCATTAGTAACGGAAAAAGTAGATTTAGAGACAAAAAAGTTTTGTTACAAAAATAATTTTTCTTTTGCAGTGCACACTTAAATAATAAGATATCATGTGTTGGGTTTTCTATTTTCTTTGGGTATTTTTTTAAAAAATATATATATATCTACACACGCGTATATATGTAAAGAATGGGGTGTGTTCTTTTTGTTATTTTCTTCGCATATTTTTTCAAAAAAATTAATATATTACACATATTCAGTATTTTTATATTATCTATACAATTTTTTATATTTTATATAAAAAATATTTCTTTAAAATATTTCACAAACCAAACACACATTGGATACTCCACCGTTTTTAAAAAATGATATTAATGTAATTCCATTATGTTAAATAATTATTTTAACTAAAAAACTTAATTTGATAATATATATATATATATATATATATATACAACATTAATTATATACTCTCCCGTCTAGGGGAAGTGCTTTTTTTTTTTTTTAATGGATTAAGAATTAGTAGTGTTTAATTTTATTGGTTGATGAAAGTATATAAAATATATAATTTTAATATTTTTGCACCTAATACAAAGGAAAAAGATATTTTTCTAAAAATTAAGAATGTTATACTATTTGTATATTGATTGTTTTTATTATAAATAAAAAATAAATAATATTGAGTATGACGAACGAAAATAATAAAAATAATACATTGAATTTGAACGGTGGCCGTATTACATGAACTTCCTACATATTTAGCCACCATTTTTTTTTCTTATTACGTGAGAATTTGCAACCGCTATTACGTGAGAATTTCCAATCGCTATTATTCGAATCCACTCTATGTAAACTTTCGGCCGAAGTAATAACCTGCATACTTATTCACCTATCACTTTTGACCAAACAATAGATGGTTTGAAGAAATAATTCATGATTTATGTGGTAAGAAAAGAAAAGGTAATAAAAGAAATTTCAAAGTATGAATTTGTTATATTGTATGTATCTATGTAGTGGTCAAACGGTCCCAAATGAAATCATAACCAAACTAAGTTGTGGATAGCAATAGCAATACCAATAGAATCATACATGAGGTGAGATGAGATGACATTAGAGAACCTACGTTGTGCATGCTCAAAAAGGAACAATTTGTTTATCCAGTAAGAGATGGTCGGGTAAGGTGAAAATTTACCCAGTACGCACTCATTGGAATGACTTCTTGTGTATTGTACACAAATATAATGTTTATAGTTACAAATGTAAATTCAATGTTGGCACTATTTTTGTCTTTAAAATAGGGTTATTTTGTGTACACAGTAACTAGAGCCGTCAAAATGGGCTGAGCCCGTCGGGTTGGTCCACTTTGTCTCATTTTTAAGGATGATTGAGTTGTGATTTTTTAAATTTGTTAAAATACGGGCCTAAACGGGTCAACCCACGTGGGCCGTGGGTTGAGAATGGGATAGCCCGCAGTGGGACGGATTAGCCTGCGGGCCAAGTAAATATAATAATAAGTAGTTACCATTCTCAGCTAAAATGCATTTTTTTACCATATTTTTATGGTCATATTAAAAAATTATAATAAAAGTAATCAAATATTAATACCAGAATATATTTTAATTTTATATAAATTACATATATCATTATAAATACAATTAATTTATAAATAACGTTACAAAGAGTAAAAAAAATATTAAAATCATATTGTACACTTTTATTTAATAAATAACATATTATTAAAATCATATTGTACACTCTGTTATCAATATCACTCTTATTTATTTTAATTTTTTATCATTTTTTTTGTTCGTCTTTCATTTTATTGTTTTATATATTTTTTTATTTTAGATTCTAATCGCACATTCATAAAATTAATTATGATTTATTTTTAAAATATTTCTTATTATTAATTTTTTTTAAATATGCTAACTAATAATATTTAGAATTAAAAATTTTTATATTTGTTAATTATTTTAAAATATTTGTTATTTAAATTTTACAATAAAATTATTTTTAGATATTTTTACATATTAATTTTACGAAAATATTTATAATATTAATACTTTTTAAATATTTTAAAAAAGCTATGGGCTAGCCCGCTTAACTCGCCATCGCCGATGGGTTGGATTGGGTTGATAAAATTTTAATCCGTCCCGCCGCGGGTTGGCCCATAAACAACCCACTTATTTGCGGGTTATGGTTGATTGTGGCTCAATCCGTTCCGCTAATCCGTTTTGACAGGGTTAACCGTAACCACCATTATTTATCATCAATTTCAATACAACTTTATTACCATACAATATTGGTTGTCTTAATTTGTTGTTATGATTTGAAATAGAATATTAATTTAATTTAAATAATATTTTTATATGAGTTTTTTTATGAAAAGAAAAATATTATTTTTCTATTGAAAATTGTATTCCTAAATAATATTAATTTTGATTTGAAATACTAAGTACATACTCTTTTGTATTTATGCTAATATTTGTATTGTTACAAATTTAGTTTTTTATTTGAATAATAATTTAAATATAATATTTTAATAAAATAATAATATAATTTATAAGAAATTACAATTATCATACAATAAAAATAAACAAATCAAACTATATATATATATATAAAGACCCTTCTTTCATAGTAGACCTATTTGGTGTATATATATATATATATATTTGGAGGGGATGAAATAATATTAATTTAATATTAAAAATATAGTATTACTCTTGCACATATTTAAATAGTCAGTTTCAAATACTAATCTAAGAATGTATTTGGTATAGGAAATTGAATTTTTATTTTTTATTTTTTTATTTTTTTGAGAGAGAAATCAAATGTGATAAATAAATTATTTTAATTTTTCTATTTTAATTTTTCTCTCATATTGTAAAAATAGAGAGAAATAAATATTAATGTAGTATATTTTTTTTATTATTTGTTCTATTTAATTTTTATAATTTTTTAAAATTGATGTTATTTCAATCTTATAAAATATCACATTTAATTTATTATTCAAGCATTTAATTTTTATGATTTTTTAAAAATTGCTTCAATACAATCAACTTATAAATACATTAATTAGCATTTCCATAAATTTACCCCAAACATTCTTTTATACGCACCAAAATTGGCTCTTTCACTACGTTACGTACATGCTACAAATCAAAACAGCCTCCTATATTTCAATCCATAAAAATATATAAATATCTTGACAAGAGTTAATCAAAGCAAACCTCCCACAGCATTCTTACATCAATCAATCTCCAATTGTAAGGCAAAAAAACAACACAACTGCAGGAAAAGTTTCAAGAGAAAGCCTACTATATTATCTATCCAACGAAGAAAACCGAAAATGCCGACGAAAAAATCCTCAAAAATCGAAATACTGCACACAACGGAACATCTCCCGACATTCAAACGAGCAAAACTATACGATGCATGTATGTATATATATATATATGTGCATATAATCTTACAAACACATCGACAAAACAGGTTATCGAGAAGTCTCAACCTGCAGCTGTAGTGCATAAGATACAACGTATCCGCGCATCATCATCATCCTCGTCATTGTGACCCTCATCATCATCGTCGTCGTCGCCATTATCATATTCGTAGTACGACAGCTCATCCCGTGCGGGGGCTGCCGGCTTCTGCTTTTTGCTACTGGCAGAAATGATGGAATCCATCAGACAGGTCTCGTGGTAGGCATGGCAGCAGAAGAAAACAAATATCGACACGTCGTGTATGTTGAACGGGTCGAAGCACATGCAGCATCGTGTGCCAGCGCTGATTTTCGACTTGACCTCCATGTTTCTGACGCTCAGAGATCGTTCGGACGATAAAGAAGCTCTGCTTTTGTCGCGTTTGCTGCGGGATTCATCTTCTTCATTGCTCAAGTACATTGCGCGCCTCGCTTCTTTGTAGTACTTAATTAGCAAATTGACGCAATCCGCCTGGGATTTGATCACAGTCGAGACAATAAAAAATGTATTACTTCAGCTAGCCGATAAGAGATTTTCTTCTGTAGGATTTTTACCTTGAGTATGTCGTTGCACCCGTTCCTTAGAGAAGTTTCTGTCCGATAGTCAGTAATGATTTTGACAAGGCGGTCTCGCAGCCTAGAGATTCAAGCAGGTTAATCGTAAAGAATCTTGATAGAAAAGTGTTTCATAAATGGGAACCCCTTGAATAATGTTGATCGAGCCATTTTGAGTCTATACAAATTTTCACACATAGTTTGATTCGGTTGCACCATATTATATAATTCATCGAATAAATGACAAGGGAATGAAGCTTACAAACACAGATTGAATACCATAAATCATGCTTACCGAGGTATCTCTAAACCATTGGGCACCATATTTACGATATATAGGGGATCAAGATTGCCAACCGTATGCTCCAGCAATACCCCAACCTGCCAACATCGACATAATTAGAAGAAATTGAAGCAAAGGAAATTTGCGGATTTCTATCAGTATGATCACTTTAGAACTCACCATCTCAGGTTTGTTCAGACATTGCTTAATCAGCTCTTCCCAGAGTTCATCATCGTGCTGCATGCTTACAAATTCGATGGCCTGCAGAGAGTAATATGACATCTTAAAAGACACCAGTTTCGAAAGAGAGGAAGGGATGAATTTGGGTATTGAATTGGGTACCTCTTCGATATCCCCCAATTTGTTGATAATTACGGCTAAAGCTTTCTTCGAATTTCCCATTCTTCCAAGAATAAAAACTTGCTCTCTTAGTAGATCTCGTTCAACACAAATTTCATAAGCCTGAGACCAAATTTCATGAATTGTCAACAACTCAAATGTGGAAGAATATTAAGGAGAAATGGCCTAGTGAGGAATAAACCTTTTCCAGTGTGTAATGCTGACTGCTCCGAAGAAATGGAAGCAGCATTTTAGGATCATAATCAGCATACAGCTCAACCTGTGGATGGTCAATGGAATGACGCCAGAGGTCAACAACAAATACCATCCCAGGAGATGATTACTTTGTATCTTCAAGTAAACACAACATATGTGATCTAAGCATGTCAGTATATCCCCACATGTTACTAACTTACTATAGTTGAATTTCTAAGTAACATGACTTCAAACAAATCCTAAAATGGCTCCAAACACCTTAGAATGTAAAAGAAAGAAAATCCGAAGAGATTTCAATGTCAGAGAGGAAACTAAATGATAGATTTACCCAATCTCCAGTTCATTCGGGTGGACAGGTTTATAAAATGGGGATGATTTTAATGGTTAGCCAAAGTAGACGTCACTGAAGTAGCACCAATTTCTATCTTTGGCATTTTCCTAACATGGTTACAAGATGAGACTGGCACAGACTGCTACTTTATAGATATCCAGAAAAGAGTGCATAGAATTTACTCAATAAAGAACGCTGCACAACTGAAAAAAACAATTTGTTGCTATGTTCTCTTCAAATTTTCGGATTATCAAACAGGTTGAATTCTGATAATGGAGTGTCCAATCCATACAAACCTGCATGTCATGGTAATCCCTTCCAGCATGAGGATTTGACACAAACAGTGCATGCAGATACATATGCAAAAAAAGTCGGTAGTCACACTTCTTCTTTACAGCCATAAGCTGTGAAACTACATCAGATGGGCTTATAAGGTCTTTGTGTTGGATAAACAATGGAACTGCACGTTTGCAGTCTATCATCATAAGCTGGGCAACCTGCAAAGCCACATTAAAGAAATATATAAATTCTGCACAAAATGACGAAGATCCAAAGATTTACTGTTGATGTAATAACATGAAGGGAGCCAGAGTATATTAAATTTGAAAATAGAAATAAGGAAAAGAACTTTTATGCAAAAAGATGATAAATTTACCTTTTCTTGAATCCCTTCATGCAAATTATGTCTGTCAATGAAATCAAAAATGTCTGGCTTCATAAGCTGAAATGCACAGGAAAGCATATAAGTTAGGGGAAGCAAGTCAACTAAACTAAGCAGAAACTATGGCATATACACTCTCGAGCATTGGAGGAAGTGCATGGATGATAGTAATGCCAAGGAATGAAATCAGGTGAAGAACTTACATCAGCATACAAGCTGAATGCCTTCTCGTTTTGTCCGTCAATTACATACAGCTCAGCCAAAGCCTGACACAAACATAGCACTGTGTAAGCCATATGTAGAAAAATCAGTAAGAATTAGACAGCATTCCTGTCACTAACCTCTTTGAGAGAATCAGTTGAAGATGAAGTATTCAGCTGAGGCTCTATGGCAGAGATTAGAGAAGAAGTAGAATAAATTGCAGGTGGCCAAGTTTTAACGATTGACAGAAGATCCTTGTGAAATGATGGGTTTGTCGCCAAAGCAACAAGAGCTACCTAGTGCATGAAAAATAATTCAGGCACCAGCAACCAGTTTAACATGAGTAAGGAACCCAGAAAGATGCAATGGAAATTCAACACCAGGGATGGCAAACCTCATAAGCAGTATCTCGTAATCTTGGATTGTCAGTTGGTATGTAGGGAACCAGAACAGGAAGTTGCCGAAGATGGGCAAAGTGGAAAACCCACCTGTATGAGTTAATCCAACCAATTAAGAGAACAAACTAAAATAGATCATCAAAGTAATTATATACATGTGAACGCAACGTGTAACCAGGTCTTATTTCACCTTTCCCATGCAGAAGCTGATCCTCGCAGTAGCTTGGGACACAAGGAAGCCGCTTCAGCATATTTGCGTTCCACAATCAGATGATCAAGATAGGTAGATCCCACCTGTTTAAATGAGAAAGCATAACAAGATAAATGCAAATTGAAAAGCATGGTTTTCATAGATATATATATATATATCTGAGAGCAGCTAGACAGTCGAAGATGAACCGGAAGCAACAGAATTTTAGCATCACATTTGCTTATTGGTTCCAACTAGCTGTTTTGTCCTTCACTAACCATGACACTTGTTCTGATTAAATGGAAAAGTATAGACAGGATATGTTTGTTTGTGTTTAGTGTGTTTTGAAACTGAAAGGTTTAAATGAACATTAGGTTTTGATGTAATGTTCGAAATGGAAAATGTGTTGGATGTGATTTTTTAATGGAAAATAGGGGTTAGCTGTAATGTTTTTAGGGAAAAAAAATAGTCTATTGTATATTGAATAACACGAAAACAAAACCGAAAACACAAACGATAGCACCCCATCTTCCAGTAGATTTCTGAGATAGAATTCTATTAATTCACAACAGAGTAGATTTCATGAACATATTGAAATTAACAATTATATAGTCTCATGGTGATACCAAATTTAGAAGTCGCCAACAGATCTATAGGCATATAACGTAGAGGAAAGGATGTGACATACACACCCAACAAATGAAAAATGAATGTCTGTGGCAATGAGAAGTAGAACATGAAACAAAGGAAAGTTGGTGATATACTAACAAAACATATACTCATGGAGCCAAAAAACCAGTGTTAACAGAGTTATGTAAAGTCTGAAACCCAGTCAAAACAAATAGAAAACACCTACCTCATCAAGAAGCTCACTCCGACCCTGACCAGCTTCAACGGCTTCCAAGGCTTTCTCATGGCATCCATGTTCAAGAAGCCAAGATATGTGATCTTCTGCATCCCTAACATCCAAAGTTTTTCTTATATAGTTCAGAACCTTGAACAGAGCATGATCAGAATTTATGAAAGATATATATATTGTCAGGTCTTAGAAAGAAAAACACATACTACATTTCAGAAAACATTGAATTCTTTTAAAAAAGAAAATAGACAGAGAAATAAGATGTCTTTAGTAATAAATGTTCTCTACCACCAACAACACAAACAATAATTGAAGAAAGCACGCTATCAGATTCGGCAGGAGGTTTACACAAATTGCACTCTGCACTCAAAAGTGTAGAGACCGTGAGTTCCTACGTCAAATAAAAAAAAAAAGAGCAATTGCGGAAAGCATATTACTGTTTGTGGGAATACTAGCCAGAACAATCCCCTTGTGATAGACTTCCAGAGGTCACTGAACGCATACTCCTGGTGCAACAGGATGCAGCCACGCCCAGATAAATTCTAGAGTATCATCCAAATTTTGGACAACCACCATTCTCAATAATCTACAAACAACAATCTTTGGCATACTTCCTAACAACATTCTCATACTCTGCTGAGTTGCATTAGCTGTAGAAACATGCAGCCTAAACCAGCAAGCTAAATTGAACATTTATCCACATGTTTCTTATCCAAAATTTTAAAATCTCAATCCTATGCTCCACTATTCAGTTTGACCTTAGCTAATAATGATGTGGTCAATGGCAAAATACAACAAACATGAAGGATACACATTGATTTTCCTTAGTATGAAAATATTTAAGTTTAAAATATTGGAAAGCAAAAGAACAGTTATATATAACTTGTCTGTCACAAAAACATCAACAGAACATAACTAGAAGGCTATATTAATGGGAGAGAAGGGAAATGAAGGAACCAACCTAGGTTTGGCAATAACTACATCCTTTGGGGACACTATATAATACAATGGTTCATCACCAGCAGCCCATTGACCACCAGCATAACTGCTACCTACAATCAAGAACACAATGTCATCATCAGTTATTCCAAACTAATTTACCTAGGTTACAAACAAACAGACATTGAGAGTGATGAGCATAGACCTACAATTGTGAAGAGATTACTGCACATAAAACAAGAAATACCTGAGAAAGGGGAATGAGCAAGAGAATAATCTTTTGCCTTGTAATGCTCAAAACCATGAATAGGAAGTGCATCAGTTGCCAATTCATCATTATTCCAAGTGACAACTCGCACTTCAGGTCTCTGAGCATTTCCCTGTTCTTACACACGAACAAAAAGGCAATTAGTGTGTAGGGAATCTCATTCAAACACAATAGCTTTTGTAGAGAAGACATAAGCATGCACCGACCTACAAAAGCAGGAATTCCTCCAGCAAGAAATCAAACATACATAGTACTATGTTAAAGAAGCACACACCAAATAATGTCTAGCAATAATATAATAACCAAATGTAGGAAAGTAGAACCGACAACTCAAATGCAGGATGAAAACGAGTATCCAGAAAAACTTTCACCAAAAATGTGGATACCATAAGATGGTTATATATGTAGGTCATTTAAAGGAATTCCTCTACACATGAATCTAAGTTAAAATCATAAGAGATGTGATATCCACAAAATAGCCTAGCAGAAGCAAATTGAAATCAAATCAAAGTTCAATCGAGTTTGAGTATCAATAATAAATAGAATAGATAAAATCCTAAGAGATGTGATATCCACAATATAGCCTAACAGAAGCAAAGTGAAATCAAATCAGAGTTCAACCAGAGTTTGGTTATCAATAATAAATAGAATAGATACGGAAGTCAAAACAGGTCCTGGCTGAAAATGTACCCAGGAAACAAAAGAAGTCCAAAAACTATTGGTCTTACATTGTAAGGACAAACCAATAACATCAACCAAACTAAAACTAGAAAATTGGACAATCAAAATGTAAAATCATACCTGGCGCGATGGAATAGAACTGCTGAAATCCTTCTCTCCATCTTCTTCCACAGGAATATATGCCAGAACAACCAAAGAATCACCAAAGGGAGCAATTCCTGATATGAAATAGCTGGTTTGAAAAGAGGCCACAATATCCACCTGGCTCATGCTAGACATTGGAATAGTCTTGTATGTCCCATTAGTGCCTCTATTCTGATTATTTCTTATTGATACTACTTTAACAGATGTTCCCCAGCCGATGACCAGTAGAGTGTCATCCTGAATGTAAAGCAAAAGCATTTAAGACAAATCGCCATTTAATGCAGTTACAGTTTATGTGTGCTTAGCATAGCCTCATGTTTTCTTTCTTTCACGCCATATAGATATGTCACATTCTTCATATTGATCCCCATCACTCACTGACCTGCCAGACTAAATGGGGCAGCAGAAGTTCAGGGCGTGGACTTCCTCGAGGTCTTTCGATGAATGTTATTCGTTGATCATTAACAGCATCATAAACCTTTACGCCTGCATCGTTGGCCCAGGCAATGAGACTAGACCTCCACTTCACTGAATGAATAGGCCCTTCACCAGAATGCAAAACCTGTGACAAAAAATTTGTTCAGTGTGTTTAGATGTTTCAAAAAGCTTTTAAGATTCTCTAACACAGAACACAAGTGTAGAAGCATCAGAAACCTAAATAAACCTGGTCTCGATAGCCTAACCATTTCTTCACATTAAAATACAAATGACCAGCTAAACCTCCAGCAACGAATCTTCTGGATGATTTCCTCACATAATCAGGGTCCAATGCAATAGTCTTCATAGGACGGTGGTACTCAAATTTCATTCTTTCATCAGTAAAAAGACTATTAATTACAACAGATCCATCATCGGAGCAGCTTCCAATGAATTCACCTTCGATATCAAAGCAAAGATCATTAACTGCAGCAGTATGTGCAATGAATTCTTTAACCTGATGAAATTAAAGACAAAGAAACTTGTTATTCATCTCACGTGTGCAATTACTTGATCTACGCAATCAGACAAACACATTAGCGGTACAACACATCTTTTTCGAAAGAGTCCGTAAATGGAAACCTTGCATTTAATTAACAATGTATTATACCTACACTGATCATGAGATACTAATCTGGACATAGAACAAAACATCTGTTTGCATATATTAAATGGCAGATCTATATGCAAACTCTTTCTAAAGAAAACAAAATTTACTTTCAACCACTAATAGAGGCATTTTAGCTAAATCATTTCACGTTGACCGGTCAAGCAATGTATATTTAGATGTCGAGCAACTTCTGGTCAGCCTAACATTCCATTATGATGTATCGCATGTTGATATCATAGAAATGCATTCAACATAAAACTATTATACAAAATCAAGCGTGTTTGGACTTGGCATATCTCCAGAAATATCAAATAAAACTCATTTCTTATCTATCCTTTGACTGGAGAAAGAAAACAAAAAACAAAAACCTACAATATATGATCTCGCAAGATTTTAAGAGGCGCATCTGACCATAACAAGTCTCCCTACGCTAGAAAACCCCTGTGCTTACATTAGCAATCACCATAACTCTTCATCCAATCTTAACACGTACATAATATTCATTTCCATTACCATAATTTTTATTCTTTGCAGCAGATACCAATTTTCAGTAAAGAGGTATCTCAATATTCATTTTCTTATCCCCTTCTATCGAAATGGATAATTGCAAGGAGACAAGAGAAGCTGCACTGAGTGTAACCACTGAAATACTGCTACAGTGCCAACTCTGGGACTTGTCATTTTAAAAATAGGGAGAAAATAAGTCACAGATGTTTCTACTTCAGATGCAATGCAGCACTTCAATCATAAGTATGTGAACTTGAACAATACACACAAATTACCCCGTATGCTTGCAATTTTATTAATCATCCAACTCAAATCAATGTCCTAAGGTACAAGTAAGTAAAATCCCCAAAAGTGTAAATCAGCTATGCGGAAAACTATCGAGATTCAGCGAGCTCAACCAATTCAGTTCGTGATTACTCATTCACACAACATCGCAGCACCCTCAACCAATCAAACTACACAATTCAATTCTCAAAACACCAAATTCCTAATTACCGAAAGAACAGAGTGAAAATAAAACAAAATAAAAGGTTGTGCTCGCTCACTTGGTTGCCGAGAAAATCGAGAATGTGAACAGAACCGCCGTGCGTGCCGAGAGCTATCATCCGCTCGGCAACGGCGATGCAGGAAGCCGCGTCGCTTTGGAGGAGCGTAGGCACGCTGCCTCCCATCCGCTGGTATTTGAGCCTCGGCTCATCCTCTTCTTCCTCATCCTCGGAATTCTCCTCCTCCTCCTCCTCTGTTTCCTCCTCCCGCTCGTCGTCGCCTTCAATTCCGTTCTCCGACGGCTTCGGTGACATACCGGAATACCTTCCCTTCCGCCGCGGATCAAAAATAATTGATTGGAAGATCGATCTGTCGAGACGTGGATCGGGGCATCGAGCTTGATTTTACAAAGCTTTTTGGCGAATAACACTTTTTTTTTTTTTCTTTCTTTTTCTAAATAACACATTTATGTTAATCTGAAATAATAATATTAATTAATGACGTCATTATTGGCTGTTTAAGCCGACCTCCAAAGTCCACTGACCTTTTTGAACTAAAAAAATGCTTTTTAGATGATAATCCTTTTTAAATTTAAGTATTTAAATAAATATATAAAATAAAATAAATATAAATTAATTTTATAAATCCAAAGTTGAGAGCACAATCTAAATATGAAACGAGAAGTAACCCTAACAAATATTTTATTTTATTTATTCGGTTATCAAAACTAATCAATTGTATAAATTTACTAATTACGATTATGTTTATATATATATATATATATTACTTCCGTCCCAGATATGATGTCCACGTTGCCATTTTTGTCCGTTCATATGCGATGTCACTTTCTTTTTCTCTGAAAATATTACACACTTTAATCTCATTTTAAATTTTTAAATTTTTTTTTTAATTTTAATTAAACTAATGAATTATCTTTATCTTAATTTATAATTATTTATATTATAAGATAATTATTTTCACTAATATATTCTTAATTATTTACTAATTATACCTCTGCTAAAATATCGTGTCTAACAGATACGGTATATATAGGACTGAGGGAGAAAGTGTTAACATTTGAAAAAAACTGTACACCTGTTCATTTTTAGTTTTGAGGTTGCCACAATAAATAAATAAATATTATATACATACACGTATCCTACCAATCAATAATGCCATTATTAATTATAGGTTTTGTTTTTTATATGAGTTTTGAATTATTTTTTTTATTTAAATAGTAATTTGATATAATATTTTGTAAAATTATATCTCACAAATACACAAATATCTCTATTTTATTATTTTTTTTATTTCTTTTACATAAAAAAAGTAAAATAAAATTGTTTTTTTATATATTATTTGTACTCTAATTTAATAAAATATTAATATACTTAAATTCTTCGGTCGAAAAGAGTAAGAGGATACGAGCATATATTTTCTTTTGAAAGTTTTTTTTTGATAAATTATTAACAATAAAATTCTAATTATAAAATAATTTATTTTTATGTATTTTTAAGTAAAGATATATATATATTTTTTATTTATTTCAAATATTTATAAAATTAAATAAAAATAATATAATAATTAAATTTAATTATAATAATTCCGTGCATAGCATGGGTTTAAACACTAGTATATATTTATAGCAACAACTAAATAAGACAAAATAAAAATAAAAATAAAAAAAAAATAAAAAGAAACTAGCACATTTGAATATTGGGCCAATTTTATAAAGATCATTGATGGGCCTAAAGAAAATGGGCCAATATCTAGGAAACTGTATTTTACGGAGTACTTGCTTTTTGGGAAGATCCACGGCTGATGTTTGTTGACGTCAAAGATCAACGGCCTGTAATGCGGCCCACCATTTCCAATGCCATGCATGGCTGATCCAATGGCACCTTAAAAATGTATTATACATATATGTAAACATAAAGTTGAGTTTATATTTTAACTACATTATATTTATGCAATATTCAATATAATATATATTTATACCAATCAAAATAATATAGAGAAGAAATTATATTTTTTATTTAAATTTTTCATAGAACAATTTGTACACTTTATTTTCGCGCAAGTGTCCTTATTTTTATATATAGCCCTTTTTATTTAAAAATATTTATAAATGAATGAGCATTGAATATACATATATATAGATATATATTTTTTTTAAAAAAAAAAAAGAACTTCTCAAATAAACACCTTAAATTTGTGAGAATTGGATTTTAAATTTGAATTTGAATAGTAAAATTTTGAATTAAAATAATTGCTATAAATATGTGTTAATATGATTTTTTTTAAATTAAATTAAATTTTTATATAATATAATATATTAAATAAAAATATATGTTTAATTTAATATATGCTTAGGCTCCCTTTGTCAAGCAAATGACATTGACCTAAAAAAACAAAATAATAAAGGACAAAATTATTTATATCCTACTTGTAGTTTGCATAATTTTTCATTATAAACTAAAAATTAAATGAAACGTCATTTGTCTTTTTTTTAGAAAATTGCAATATTTTCTAAAATACTAGTGAGTCTTGTGTAATTTTTAAATCACGGAAGAGTATGATTCTGACTTTTCAAATTACAAATAAATTATTAATAATTTTGCCAAATATATATATATATGCGACAGAAATAAACTTCTATACTTACGTGACATTTTTAGGAATAATTTTGAGTTTTTTCTTAATCACGACATTCATTAGTGAACTAAGATCACAGATCTTTTCCAATTCGGAAAATCTTTGTGAGTTTGGATATTTAGAATCTCGATTTGCATTGATTGATTTTTTTAACGTTGAAGTCGAAAAAGATGAAGCGCTCACGCCTGCATCCTTTAAGAAATTATAAAAGTCCTACAACAAAACACTTGATTATTGCTAATAATGAACAAAAGCACAAATTGTCGATTAGCATGTATAATTATAATTATATATCTAGAATTTTATCGTTGCATTTATTTGAAGTTTGATTTGTATTATTTTTTTTTTTTACAAATTAAAATATTATATTTAAATGACTGTTCAAATCAAATCTTGAAACTAATTCTCAATAAACAAATCCTAACTCGATGCTAATTTACAATTCGATCAAATTAATTGATGTAATTATGATACTATATTATTGCTTTTGGCATAGATGACCTCCCCGAGCCCGCTCCATGTATTCGTTGCGTTTTCATATGCGCCCTCCGCGATTTGTTGTTTTATCTTTCCTACTAATCTAATTTATATTCGACATAAAAATTATTGATTGCAATTAAGATAATATATACTTGGTAAAATTATGGTTACGATTTTGTAATGAAAGAAATAATTAAATGTTATTTTATACTCTTTCCGTCCCTTAACAATTTATCCATTTTTTCATTTTGATTCATCCCATAACAATAACAAAGTATTCATTTTATTTTTTAAGTAATTGTACTATCTACTTAACATTACAAATACCCTTCTAATTTACAATATATTACATAAATGTCATTACCTTTGTATGATACAATACTAATATGGTTAATTTAGTCTTTTTACATTTATTTCTATTTTATTCCAATATAATACTAATATTTCTAAAACTATATGCAAAAAGCAAATTGATATATAGATATGAGACGAATGGAGTATTTAAAATGTTACATTCAAAACTTAAGGTTCCGCTTATCTATATTTTGCAATTTTTGAGAGTTTTGTTAATAAGAAAAGATAACTATATATGTAATGTGGTTTTTATAAAGTAATAAAAAAAAAAACGTATAACAATAATAATATAAAATGAGATAAACCTGTTAGACTCATGCAGGCCATTGTTGTAAAAAACAAAAAAAAAAAAAAAAAAAAAAAAAAAAAAAAAAAGGTTCAGATGAAATTGAAGATCAAGTTCAAAATTTTCAAATTGCAAATCAAATCAAATCAACGATCAAGATAGAAATTTAAATGTTGCCTCATTTGATTTTGTAGAAGAATAAGAACTTGTTAAATACTCTCTCGGTCTCCGATACTATGTCCACGTTGTCGTTTTTGTCCGTCCCACGTACCATGTCACTTTCTTTTTTTAAAAAATGATTACACACTTTAATCTCATTTTAAATTTTTTAATTTTAATTAAATTAATTAATTATTTTAATTTATAATTATTTATATTATAGAATAATTATCATTGTTACTATTTTATAAGTTCAATGTAATCCATATTGCATTGACTAAGTTTAAAATAGGTAATATATATGAAATATTGAAAATTGATTGATGTGACAATTATGTACTAATTCATTAGCTGTCTTTATATACATTTATATCACTTATTAACAATTTTATTTTATTTTATGACTGCAGCCGCTACCCACTAGGCGAATCATACGTGACAGGTGACCTAAGGCGTCGGGGGTTTGAACCCATGACTTTACGGTCACAAATCCAACCCCTACACCACTAGATCATATCGTACGGAACATGAACAATATATTTTTAGTTGTTCAATCATTATTTTAACTGTATTTTTTAATTTTTGCAATATATATTGGTGCCCAGTTATAAATATAAAATAAAATCTACTATACTATTGTTAAACATATCTACATTCAATTTTTATTTAAAATGTTATATCAAATAATTAAATAAAGAAAGCTTTGATCAAGAATTAGTTTGTCCCAAAACATTTGGGAAAAAAAAAACACTTATATACAGAGATGTATTATTTATACTTTTCTGGCATAATTTTCTTACAATTAAATACATTATTATGCAAATATATAATATAAAAAAATACATTAATTTTGGAATGGGGAAGGTATCCAATGCAAATAATTTAAATATTTTTGTATGTATATATATGGACAATTAATATCCAAAGGAGAAGCGATAAAGCTACCGTGACCGTCACATTTGGATAACGTACAGTCGCACAGCCCGAAGCTGCCCGTATTGCCCAACTATTTCTACCTAATTAATTATCAAAAAAGTTTTTATTTGCTTATAATTTTTTAAAATATAAAATATAAGATTTATTATTTGAATTTTATATTTATCGGAAAAAAATTCTAAACTATTATATTAAATATTACTCCTTCCCTCCCACGTACCATGTCTACGTTACATCCACGTACCATGTCACTTTCTGAAAAATAATTACACACTTTAATCTCATTTTAAATTTTTTAATTTTTTTTTTTTTAAATTTCAATTAAACTAATTAGTTATCTTAATATTAATTTATAATTATTTATATTATAGGATAATTATTTTCACTAATACATTCTTAATTATTTACTAATTACACCCCTCCTAAAATACCGTGTTTACAGTGTAGTGTGAGGGATGGAGATTGTATTTAAATATGAAATTTAAATTTATTTTTTATTTTTTTAATTTAAAACATCACGTCAATACCTATTTATCACATTATACTATTATTTTAATTCAAAT